TCGTATATGCTAGAATCCAGATAATTTAAAAGAAATACATTGTTGAATAGGAAGGTTTTTTTTGGGGTTTTGTTCTTCAATTCACCTTATTTATCCATTCAGTGGAATGTTTAAATGGAACAATAACTTTTAAGATACCAGTGTTTATCAAGATAACCAAACAGATACTTACTGCCACAGGGAAGCTTCGTATGAGAATAAGTAAATAGTTCCTGTTGTAATGTGTTGTTTGACAAGTTTTTTTCTGTATGACACTAGGGAAAAACGTTGTTTTGCTGCAGCTATCGAACATTCAAAATAAACCAAATAGTTAAACGTCAATCGAAAATCCCTTATATAGGATAACATCAAAAGGACAAACCCAAAAATAAACAGTACTGCCTGCATGCCCTACAAAGCACCGATTGTACGCCTACATCAGAGTAAAACCTCCCAACCGAAAGGGGGAACCTCCCCAGTAAATGCTTACCGACTTGAATATAAACAACAATTAAGAGATGGTTCCACGCACCTGAAAATCGCCAATCTCCTGATCAGAGGCCTTGCTACCGGATGTAGTTTATCGTCAGACCCAGGACAAAAAGGCTTTCCGAATCAAATGTAAACGTCCAATATTTACCTATCCTGAAACCAAGTAAATTCTTACAAACTCAAACATAAACTACCAATATTTACCTATCCTGAAACCAAGTAAATGTTTACTGACTCAAATAAGAATTCTGATTGACATTAAATCCACCATGAAGGGGACCGTTGTGGCTTCTCGAGTTAATGTCTTCCGTTGACATGAAATGAAAAGATAATATTGAATCACGCCCTCGATCAGTTGCTAGAGAAGTTAGTTCACTGTGTGGTGCTAGACAGTTTTTCTTGCCAGCATCTATCTTACACCTTTATAAGTCTACCATTCATCCATGTACTGAATATTGCTGTCACGTCTGGTCTGGTCTGGTCTGGTCTGGTCTGGTGTTTCTATTGTGTATTTACAGATGCTTGATAGAATATAAACAAAAATCTGCAATATTATGTGTCCTGACCTGAAATCTCGACTTCAGTCACCTTTTCACCGACGTAACATAGTTTCTCCATGCATTTTCTATAAGTATTTTCATGGTAATTGTTTGGATGACGTTTCCTCCTTGGTGCCTACACTTTACAAATTTAAGCTCAGTAATAGATTGGTAGATAGGTTTCATCATTTTAAAGTTGAAATAGCTATGACTATAAGTTCTATGCTAACAGTTTCTTCTCTCGCACTTCTTGTTTGTGAAACTCTCTCCCGGCATTTTGCATTCCAGTCAACTTTGTTCTTTAAAAAAGATAAATGCAATGTTAATCGTAATCTTCTGTCTTCTCAATTCATCTTCTTTATTGTTCTTTCTCCTCAACAATTTTTTGTCGTATTATTCCACACACAGTAACTCCTTGCAATTAGTGGCTTTATCGCCTTGCTTGGAGTAAAATAATTAGAATAAATAACCCCAAAAAGGATAATATCCCATAAAATCAATCAACCAACCAAAAGTAAGTTTCCTGTTTTAAGAAATATAGATCTCCTACTCACGTCAATCAAAATCAAAATGAGGGACTACTGTACGATTAGATACATTTGAAAAGACTGTTAGCTACAAGTATATGATCATTGGTTACGACTATTCTCTAAAATCTTATATATGAAGACATAAGGTACTTGATTTCTTTGCAGAATAGTCCTGAGTATGACATCCGGCAACAACGTCTCTGATCGGTAAAGGTTTTGAGGAGTATGAAACCACCTCTTAATTACTCTTGTTCCCAGGTCCTCTCTGACCCCGGGTGGTAGCACCTGTTAGGGTCCCAGCTATGGGTAAATAGTGAATTTTATCTATTTCTGTCTTTTTTTTTCGGTTTTATTATTTCCATTCTTTTATTTTTATATTATCCCCATGAATGTATTAGTTTGGTTTGGAATCTTGTTTCATTTCCAGCAAAGTTCTCGGTATGACGATAATCTACATCCGGCAGCAAGACTTCTGATTGGGAGATTGGAAGTTTTGAGGAGTGTGGAAGCACCTCTTAACGTTGTTCGCAGGTC